AGGGGGGTTGGACTAGATGACCCACAGAGGTCCCTTCCAACCCCTACTATTCTGTGATTTTGTCATCAACTAACTTGAGGGTACAGTCCACCCCATTATCCAGACTGTTAATGAAGACATTAAAGAGGATCAGACCTAGTATTAGCCCCTGGGGTATGCAGGCAGTTACTGGCCTCCAACTCAACTTTGTGCTGCTGATCACAACCTCCTGGGCCTGGCTGTTCAGCCTGTTCTCGATCTGCTTGGCTGTCTGCTCATCCAGCCCATACGTCATCAGCTTGAATGTGAGGATCTTACAGGAGACAGCACCAAGAGCTTTTCTGAAGTCCAGGCAGACAATATCCATTGCTCTCCCCTCATCTACCAGGCCAGTTATTTCATTGTAGAAAGTTAACTTGCTGTAGCAGTTGGAAGATGTTTAAGCCACAGGAACCTGCCAGTGAAGAAGTTAACCTTTAAACTGCCCTACATGTTTGACTGTTCCATAATCAGGTAGCATTGCTGCCTTAGTCTGTGTTCCTAAGTGCAGGACACTACAGCTTTGGTTAAACTACTTGTTTTAGCTATAAATATAATCTTTTCGCCTTTCATGGAACACCTGTGGTTAGATTTCTAGAAGTACAGAGCACGTGTGTGTGTGACTGAAATGTACTGGTGATGTCCTTTCTGTCAACTTTAAAAAAGATAGGCTGGCCCAGGAATTGACCCTGCATCTACCGAGTTTGGTATTCAGACCCACATAATCCCCCTTATTTCTCGGTTTCCTCATATGTGTAGAAATGAGGACCACCAAAATTCATCGTAGGGAGGAATGCGATTTTCTGGAACACTTGAATGCATGGAGAACAACTGAGGAAGTGCTTATGGGGAAATCCCAGACTTTTTGAGTGCAGCACATGGAAAGTATGCAATAAGTAAAATCACTGGATGTATCTTGAACTCGAATGCGAAGTCTTTAAAAGATATCAAGAGCAATGGCCTGTTTCTTCAGTGAGGTAGGAGTTTGCAGTTGCATGTTCATGTAATACTGCAGAACTGTATCGTAATGGCTAGATAGAAAAGAGCCTCAGGTTTCCTGACTCCTCAGTGCTTTTGTCATTTTAGGATATTTTAGTTTTTCGTCAGTTGTACTTACCAGCATAGCTTTGCTGCTTGCAGAAGGAAGTCTTCATAATGTTTTATTTAAAAACAGCATAAATGTTTTATGACATAAGCTGTATGAGGTAGAAACTGGTGTCTGTTTTCTTCCATCTGAGGGTGTATAATGTATTAATACTAATATATTAAGTATGCTTGTCCTAATAAAGTATGTACTGCTGCGATGGACACTATTTTAAGTTATGAAAGCTGTAGTTAGCATCACTTTTGTAATTCTGTTTATTCTAGACCTATTGAAATATACTGGGATTAGACTGTTGTTAATAAATACATGATCTTACCTGTGGGGATAAAATGAGATTCTATTAAAGGAAACTACAGTATTCTAATTTTTCTTGGCTTTTCAGTGAGGTATTTGTGGGCTGGTGTGTAGGTATCTCTACATGTAACAAGTTACTTCTAATCTGGAGTTCTTTAGTGTGTAAATCAAGAGGCTGGTAAAGCTGAAAATCATACTGAATTTTTAGTGAATGGAAGAAGTGGGACTGATCTCAGCATGGGTGAACTAAACCCATATACTTCTCATTCATGTGAAACCTGGGTGATTGAGGGGGGGATAGCTTTTTTCATTCCAAACTTTTTTGGAAGAGTTCTACATTATATCATATTCCTGGTATCTTCAGTCCACTACATGCTATTTAATTGTGTTAATTGTTTTTCTTGCTGAAATAATTAAGTATAATTATGAGCCAATTATGGTGTAACTTGGGATTCTTATAAACACTTCTGTACCAATTAGCCACCCAATATAATATCTGGATTATTATTATTGATGAAAACAAAATAAACTATTGCTAAAATGGGCACCTTAAACCTTTTATAAGAACAAGTAACAAGTGTGGTTTAATGTAACTACTGATATATAAGGTAATCGGTAATTTGAAAGTTGGATGTTTTTAAATATTAAATTGTTTATATCTAGCACAATTCTTAATTAAAGGTTAAACGCTAAGTGTTGTCTGTGGTAAAAATAGGTATTGCTTTCAGAATGAAGAATAATTTTGAAGGCTTTAGAATTTATTATGTTAACACTTTATTTGCAAAAATACTTATTTGGGCAAGTAAGGAGAAGCATGTTCTAAGGTATTCCTGTAGTGTTCCTCACCATTTCACCTAAATCCAGTCCTAGTAATGATTTTCCGTTTTTGGTGTATGAATATTTTCATTCGAACTGTATTTTGAATGTATAATATGGTCTGCTGTAGGGGTTGCACATTAGTCTTGTGCATATGAAACAAGTGCTTGATTTCATTACCATGAATGTTTCCTAAGTTACATGGAAATGTTCAAGACTGTGAAGTTCATACGTATAGTCCCAAGGAATTAGTTAACTTCCTGCTGGCATTTGCCGTCCTTTTTAACTGCAAAGAGTAGCTGGCACATTCTGTGAGGTGTATTGGCAAATCAGTTCTCATTAGTGTACTGTGGTAAATCTTAAAGGGGGGAGGGAGAGAATCCCAACCCTGACCTGAAAAAATGGTGCGAAAAATTAAATTTATGATACTTATGTAAGGTGGTGGTTCTCTGTGTTTTTCTTCTATTTGCTGAGGATCAGCTTTAACAAGAGCCCTAAAGGCATCCTGTTCCTTTTTCACTCAGATATGTTTTAATATATGTATTTGAAAAGTAATTGGCTTTTCCAGTTCCTTTGAAAACGGCAGCAGTGGGATTTGTGGTGCTGAATTTTGAATGTATAGAGGTGCATTCAATGGAAATGATGTTTGATTTATAATTTGTCAAATTTCTATACTCATAGGCAAAAATTGACTTTGAACTAAAAAGCTTAACAGATCAATTTTCTCTTTATAGGACTTCCAGTTTCTACAGTGGCGCTTTAAATTATAGCTCCTATGCTTTATTTATGTGCATAAATATTTTGGCTAATGACAACGGAATTTGTAAGTTAGTACTGCACACTTTTTTAAAAAGTCTATGTACTTGCATATAATAAATATTACCAAAAAAACCATGGTCAGAATGAAAGTGTAATTGCATGCTCCAATTGTGTAATATTTACTAGAAATAAATGGAGACCAACCTCTACTTAAAAGGTAGTTTATTCAATGGGTAAATGCTTATGGTTTTTAATTGAAAATTTTTTTTTTTCCATTTTCTTTCCAGGTATTGCTTTGTTTTTGCTTTGGGATACCTCACTGTGTGCCAAATTACTAGAGTCTATATCTTTGATTACGGACAGTATTCTGCTGATTTTTCTGGGTAAGGAGAAAAATAGTGTTTCCGTCTTGTCCTCCTAAGTGATAATGTATCTGTTGTTGGGATTTTTTTCCCCCAGGTTAAGTGTGTCAACCTTTAAATTTTGGGAGAAAGCTGCATAAGTGCTTGTGTGTTGGCACGCATACAAATATATATGTACCTATGCTGTCATAGAACGCTTAGGGTTGGAAGAGACCTTTAGAGGTCATCTAGCCCAACCCCCCTGCAGGGATCAGGGACATCTTCAACCAGACCAGGCTGCTCAGAGCGCTGCCCAACCTGACTTTGAATGTTTTCAGGGATGGGGCCTCCGCTACGTCTCTGGGCAACCCGTTCCACTGTTTCACCACCCTCATTGTAAAAAATTCTTTCTTATATCTAGTCTAAATCTGCCCTCTCAGTTTAAAGCCATTATTCCTTGTTCTGTCACCACAGGCCCTGCCAAAAAGATTTCTTCCCTCTTTCATGTAGGCCCCCTTTGATTACTGAAAGGCCACAATAAGGTCTTCTGGCAGCCTTCGCTTCTCCAGGCTGAACAACCCAGCTCTCAGCCTTTACTCACAGGAGAGGTGTTCCAGCCCTCGGATCATTTTTGTCGCCCTCCTCTGGACCAGCTTCAACATGTCCATGTCTGTCTTGTGCTGGGGGCTCCAGAGCTGGATGCGGGACTCCAGGCGGGCTCTGACCAGAGCAGAGTGGAGGGGCACAATCAAGATTGGAAGGGCTGCTCTCAATCCCCTCATCCCCCAGCCTGTATTGATAGTGGGGGTCACCATGACCCAGGTGCAGGACCTTGCACTTGGCCTTGTTGAACCTCATGAGGTTCACATGGGCCCACTTCTTGAGCTTGTCCAGGTCCCTCTGGATGGCATCCTGTCCTTCAGGCATGTCGACCACACCACTCAGCTTGGTGTCATCTGCAAGCTTGCTGAGGGTGCACTCGATCTTGCTGTCTGTCATTGATGAAGATACTAAACACTGCTGGTCCCAGTACAGACCCCTGAGGGACATCACTTGTCACTGGCATCCATTTGGGCATTGAGTCATTGACCACTACCCTCTGAATGCAACCATCCAATCAATTCCTTATCCACCGAACAGTCCACCCATCAAATCTGTATCTTCTCATTTTAAAGAGAAGGATGTGTGTGGAACCGTGTCAAAAGCTTTACAGAAGTCCAGATAGATCACATCCTTGTGCACTGATGCAGTCACTCAATTGTAGAAAGCCAGTAGGTTGGTCCACTAGATAGTTTTAATCATGCAGACTGAGCATTTTGGGAACAGCTGTGTCAGAACCACAAATGCTTTATCTGATGCCTCCTGTTCTGATCTGAAGGGCGTAAAAGATTTGGTGGCTGTGGAGTTTTTTTGCCTTTGCTTTTCCCCTTAGAATCTCTGATACCACCCATGACAACATGATGAAACTTGAACTGTATCTGATGTACTTGCATGCCTGGCACAACCTGATACCACTTTATGACGAAAATCTGAATGTTTAATAGAATTTAGTTTTTAGCTTCTTTCTTTTTTGGTTTTATGTTAGATGTTTCGGAAAGAGAAAGCTGAGGAGAGAGGAACTTGTATGGTGGAGTAGTCACGCAGCTCTTAGAAAGTTTTGTCTAAATGTGTTCTCAATTTATATAATGAACTTAAACCTGTATTTGACTTGAGCTGTACAGGAGCAAAACAGAATTAAATAGGCAAAGTAAAAATAAACCATATTGGTGATTCTTCTTTGTATTGCAGACACAGAAGTGAAGCACAACATTTCCTATAAGGAAGTTTGCTACTGTGCTGCTGCTTTTGTTGATTTAAAGGAGACTATGTATTTTGGGAAAAAGAGATGGGAGAGTGTTTTCTAGTCTGATTAAAAAAATGCATTAAATAGCTTTCAGGAATACTATGAATGGCAATGGTCTTTGTAGTTTAGTATTACCTATGTTACGTAGTAGACTAGTGCTTGTTAGTCTTGTTGCTTCTCAGTCTTCACTGGTAACAGGCAGGTAGTCCAAGAACTTAACTTGTAGGCTGAAGCCAAAAGGTTTTATGGTTAAGTTCATCTCTTCTGTCGTTTTTAGTTGGGTCTTACCTTCTGAAACATCGTTGTACATTTATGCCTATGTCCAAGTGTCTGCCTTCAGGACAGATATCCAAGTTCCAACTGTGGTCAGTGGAGATCTGATTGATGTAGACAGTAGAGCCCAGAGGGCATTTCAGCTGATCCGCTGCGAAGTATCTACCTTAGCGTGAACTGGGTCACTTGCCAGATGCCCCGACTGTATTGACTAGATCTCCCCTGGCTATAATGAGAGCTTGCAACATAAGACATATGCATAAAGATACTTTAAAACTAGGTTTACTGATGTTGAATTAAATTTCACCATTACAACTGGAACTGTAATCCAAATGCTATCCCTTCCAATTTGCTGTAGGGCCAAAGTACATAACCTTGGCAGTGATCAGAGCTCTGAGCTGACTCTGGAGACAGTATAATTGTACTTGTTTGTTGCTGCTCTCAAAACTATTAATAGAGCTTGAGCACACCGTTGCTCAAATGCAACTCTACTGTTTTCAGATAGCAGCTGCCTTTGTGGCTCTGATGATCTCGTGTTAGCTCAGAGATTTCTGCTAGGTCTAAACATGTCCAAAGACTTATGAGATCTGTGCTCTGGATAGAACTGTTCTGAAGCTTAGATCTAACTCTGATTGCATGTTTGAGCTGCCTGATATAAACCATTCTTTCATGCACCAGTTTGGGAGTTTTGGTGTATGTGTATCACCTTAAATCTCTGAGATATACTGTGTCTGCTCCCTCGAGGCCTGAAACAGAGGTTACTTCCAAAACAGGAGGAGAAAGAAAATGAACTGAAGAGGGCTATTTTCTGTCATTTTTCTCTAGTTCCAGGGGAACAGAGTAAGCTCAAGAAATTAACAAAAGTTGCCTAACCAGCTGTTGAACCCCAGCACCAGCAAGTTCTTCCAAAGACATTGGCATGGACTCATATAATGGTTAGCCCTGAAAGAGCTTTGAATGTTTGTTTACCTAGATAGTTCTCCTAGCATGCCAAGCCCAGGGAATCTGCAGAAAGTTTGAAGGAAGGCATGGATGCACTGACCGTGGAGAAAGCTGAGGAGACATCATGCTAGAGGTGCAGTTGCTTGTGCAGAGCTGTGTGGTCCTGGCTTCACTGCTAACAGATCCCAGCTGCCAGTGAGCCTTCCGCTGCGCCCTTTGCCTTTCTGTCAGCACCTAAAAGGGATAATTAAGATCCTGGTTCATAGCCTCACAGTTCCAGGCAAGGCTCTTCCTCGTTTAGTCTCTAGATTGTTGCTTCTTAGCCAAATCTCTGAAGATATTGGAATAGCCACTTGAGAATGAGGGGAAAAAAAAAAAATAAAATACCAGAGTCTGCTATGATAACAATGACAGATGTATTCAGCTAGAATTAATGTGAGATCTGACTGAGCTCCTCCTGGGCTCCATCCATCCACCAGGCAGGATCCGTGCTGTCACATGTCCACTTACAGAAGCAAAACTCACTATGTTCAGAATCAGTTGGGGATTTCTGCCAGCACCAGACAGGTCTGCAGCTTAAATGCTAGAAAGATGAGGGGATTTCCCAGACTGTCTGTTCATATTTAGTTTTCTTCCTTGCTGACCCTTACCTGTCGCTTTAGTCTTGATATCAGGGTTTTGTGGCACTGATAATAAGGTAGAAATAACTTTTTCCCTGATTTGCATTTTGAGGACTGGAAATGTTGTGTGCTTGGAAATAAGCATAACCTAAAAAAAACTCAATCAGTTTGACGGAGTGAGCCATCTGGCAAAATACTGGCATAGCCCTGTCAATGGAGGAGGACTTGATGGCTCTTGGATTTATTTTTCTGTGCCAGCTTAAATGTGTTGCAAAAAGAGGCAAGTGCCGTCAGAAGACTTAAGCAAAACTATGTGCCCATCCTATAGTATGGTTGTTTTGTTGTGGGTTTTTCATCTCCAACTCGGATACTACTAGGTAAATATGGTCCCTGATACATTTTTGAGATCTGATTTCAAAGTTCAATTTCTAAATCTTGGTAGCCTACTTTATGCCCTCTCTAGTCCGCTCCCGCCCCTCAGTTAGGGTGTTAGCAGTGCTGGGATTTACATCAGTCAAAAACTCGTAGATACTACGAAGATGGTGTAATTTCTCAGTATAAAGCTGACTCCCTTAGCCAGGAAAGAATGTCTCCTGGACAGTTTAAGATCTACTCAAGTGTACCAAATTCAAAACAAACTGCGCTCTGTTGGAGCCACCATAATTATGCTGGGGTTTTGTTTTGCCAAATATGTTTACTTGAAACAAATAATTCTAGATGGAAAAATTAAGCATAGGACCAGGTTTTAGTAGAAATGATGGAAGCGATCTGCATATCTAAATAATTTGTAGTACTGTCCAACTCTGGCATATTTTTATTGTTCTTTGGTTACTGCTTCTGTAATTTACGTGGCCCTCTTTTCTTTACTCTTCCCACTGTAAAGAAACCCCCACAAACCTATGTTAGCAGAAAATAAATGTGAAACACTTTCGCTGTGTTTGTGGAAGCTAATGCAACAATACAAGGCATGGGTTATCAAATATTATATCTAAGGATTAAATTATTTTCATTGCATTGAAAACTGTAATGGTTTGAGCTCCAAAACTAATCACTTTGTCCCTGCATTGAAAATCTTCCAGTTGAGTGTAATTAACCTGGACTATTAGTATAAACTTTCTCTGACACTTACATGCGAAAGAAAACCCTGAACTTTTTTCTAAACTCTTCTTTCTTCCTTTTTTTAACAGTCCAATGATGATAATTACACAGAAGATCACCAGTTTGGCGTTTGAGATTCATGATGGTAAGATTTCTTTACACTGTGTTTAATTTTACATACAAAATAAACTTAAGTTAGTCATCGGTCAATGAGTTACTTTAGTCCAGTTCGTGCTTTAGGACATTTTAGGATATTTTTGGCTTTCAGTTGATTCTTTTGGTGCTTGGTAATGGAAGTACCAAGAAATGTTGCTCAGGCACTACAAAAGCTCTGAAAATGCCTACGTAGTGCAGAAGATACTACATATCAGAAGACTAATGACACTTCTGGGACAGTGACCAAAGACCACTGACATTTTTTGGGGGCTGGGGTATTGATCCTGAGAGTTAGCTAAATAATTTCCAAATTCAGAGATCTCTGTGGCTGACAGATTGGTAGAAAAAGTACATGTAATGTCAGTGTTTGAGCACCTCTTGTTTTAAAATGCTGACTGTTAAACTCCCCCTAATACGTGCCATGTATACTGATTTTTATAAAACACTTGTATGTGTTTCGTTTTGTTTATTATCATAACTGCACTCGCTGCTAACATAGCAGTGTGAACAGGGTGATTACCTGCTTGTGTTGCTGTCTTTTCTCTGTCAGATTTATCCATTGGATAAGTGGGCCCTTGTTGTGACAAAATTTTATTTTCCATTCTTGTTAAGGTACACTGTCTAGAGAAGTCTGTAGGCAGCAACATTTGTGAATATGAAAAGTCAGGAGAACACCTTTTTATAAGAATTCTTGTATGAATAAGTAGATAATGCTGGGCTTATCTAGTTGGTCAAACAAGTTAATGTCCAACTTCCAGAGAAAATATGTTCAGAAGTATTAGTCTTGCAAGCTGTAATCAATTAGAGTACAGAATAGACAAATTAAGGGAAACAGTTTATTATAAGGAAGCAATAATTCTAGTATTAAAGTACTTCCTCTTACTATTATTTGCCTAGGGGAAAGAGCTATTCTCAATTTGTTGACATCATGCACAAATAGTGGAGTTGTGGTATGGGACAAGCATGTGAGTGTTCCTGGTAATCTTGAAACAAATGTTTCATTTAGTTCTATTCTTAACTTTCATCACAAACTAAACTGGATTTTTTTTTTTTCTACTTTAATTAATTCAGGTAATTTGTATTTTCCTCATAAGCCCAACTGATTTTCTGTTTGAATATCTTGTAGCTATCATTGAATTCTGAGTATCAATCTTCAACTTTTGTTCTTTGTTGACCTCGTATCAGAGATCCTCTAGAGTCTTTGTCAGCCCATGGGGGGTAGCTGATAATACACTGGAAAACCTTGCTTCTGACTGCATTTGCAGTTTAGCAGAGTCCTTGAGTTGGATGAGCACCATTGCTGGGAGCACAGTGTGAACGTGACTTCCAAAAGTTGATGTGACTGATGTGAATTCAGGAGCAACTGCAGGAGATGCTAAGAAATGATGTAGAGGGGAAACTGAGATTGCATTAAAGCAATGATTTTTAACCATAGACAACTTAAAAGGGGTTAATCTTGAGAAATTAATGAAAACAAGCCTACTGTCAGTGGGCTTTTCTTCACTGTACAATGGTCCACGCTCTGCTGGAAAATACTACAAGAGATATACTGATGAGGGAGGAGATAATGCTGAAAATCATTATCCTATGGCACCCTGAGCCACTAGTCACATCAACTTGGCTGTATTAATTGCCAATTACTTTATTCTGCGCTGTCCCCCCTTCCCCCCCACCTTGTCTTTTAGCAGTACGTCTAAGGAGAGCTAATGAAAATAAACTGCTGAAAGAAAGGTGTTGGCATGTTGGAGGATCTTGGTAAGCTTCAAGACTCTAGTTGTAGTTAGGCTGGTTTTGTGGTAAAAGCAAGTCTGCTGGACTTGACCTTTTCCTGGCAGCCCGTTCGTTGTGTTCGGCTGGTTTTAGTGTTACATTTGAAGATCCTGGAGAGAATGGGATGTAATCACGAAGGCCGCTTGCTCATGCTGCATATTAAAGAGTCTGTCTAGCTAAGGGGAGATATGCTTGATTCCAAGTTGAACACTAATATGGAATCCCATAAATAAATATCAACTACCCCTATAATTGTTACAACCCTGTGCACGTACTGTGGGCTTTTTCTTACGCAGGAAAATTCAATGCAAGTTGCATAGGATTACTTTAAGCTTGCTGTATAATACTGACTTCTCTGAAGGTTGCGTGGATCCCGGATTTACCCCTGAGTAAATTCAGAATATACCTTTGGTGTACTCTGACACTTTTAACTTAAGCCCTTGATAGTTCTTGCCTTCTTACAGTTTGTTACTTAAATGAGCACTATGAAAAATGATAGTCAGTATGTTAAGATTTACTTTGTATTTCTTGCTGATTATCTTTGGTAAAACACGCATATACTCTAAAGGCAGAAATGTTTTTATGTGATTTGGAGACTACATGTGTCCCTATTGATTCTTTATGGCAAGAATTTGTTTTATTTAGGCAACACTTTAGCCTAATGACAGAGCGAAGGGAGAAAAGGAATTTCTTGTACTTCATATCCTATATTCTGGAGTACATTTCTTCATCAGATTTAAAACTGTCAGATTTTGGAGAAGGAAAGGTGCATTGCAGTTATTCTAGAAGTAGGAGGCTTGTCTACAGGTGCAGTTTAGAAGGGCTGTACAATGGAGACTGGTACTTGCATGAGAAATTTCTAGAGAAGAAATGGTGACAAGTAGAGAAGCTTTTGCAATTATATGGTACTAAAAGTGTGAAGCAGGGGACAGGAAGTGAGATACTGTCACTGCTTAACTCTGTATCTTGCAATAAGTTCATGCAGCGTTCTCCCTCTTTTGCTTGTAACCCACTCATCCCCACAGAGCCTCACTCATTTTACTGCATTTCTCTTTGAGCTCAGGGATCTTTACGGGAAAGACACATACCCAAATCTGATCTCACTGAGCTATATGTGCTTTGGCAGCTTGTTTTTAATTTGAGTGCTTAATGAATCTTAAACCAAGAGTCTCTTCAAATGCTTATATTTATAACCCGTTGAAGTTCTGGACCTCACAATGTATATATTTTTTAAATCTCCAAGGGATTCAGCCAGCAAAAGTAGGGAATGTTATACTTGATATTTCAAAGGAAAAAATAGATTCTCACAGATTCTTCCAACCTTGTTCTGATTTATTTTCTCTAATTTAAACTAAATCATACCTGGAACTTCCAAGGAGAAAAGCGCCATTTTTAAAATGTAATGCCCATCTACTAAACATGAAATCTAATTCTTCATAATTATTTCTTCATATTACTATGTTGGACTTGTACACAAAAATATGTGACTAGATACAGGTAGGAAACCAGAACTCTTCTGTCGGCTGCTTCTTGGTTCCCAGGGGATTATGTTGCATGCTTTCTGACCACAAAAAAATAAACTCTTTGTTGCTGTGTATACCCTTCTCCCATCCCTCATGCTTTGGGTTTCAGCTCTGTAGTTGCCAATTCTTAAATGTCCTGTTCTTGGAATGCTGCTTGCTTTTTTCTAATTATTTCCTCCTATGTGCCTGGTGCTCTCCATTTTTAAAAGCAATAGAGTAGACATTGATGCTGGTCTGGTAAAGCACTGCATTTACTGTGAGGACTAAAAGGAGACAGAGTACTATGAATATGCAACTTGAAGGATTTTTTTTTTTTTTTTTTCCTGTCTGCCTTTTTGTTTGAATGATGTATTGGCGAAATACAGTTAAAAGTTAGTCTTAAACCAGTAATTTAGGTCTTGTTTACTTTGCTTCAAGAGCAGGCTATTGGGACGATGGCTGGATTATTTTCTGCTGTTTTTCCTCATATTGCTATTGTACCATTACAAATTGTAAGATTTCCAAATAGGCTATTAGAGCTGACTTCCTCTAAAACTATAGTCTCTGTCCAGTATGGTCCCTAAGAGGAGAGATATTTTGGTGGATAGATGGAACACATGGAAAATGGGAAGGAGACGAGAACAAAGAAACAAAGGTGATGTTGGACTTTTGCAACTTTTGTTTTTTTGTTGTTGTGAGAGGCATTCAGTTAAGAATGTTATATTTACGAAATAAAGATCTAAAACTATGAATGCGCTTTTCTGATTTCAAACAGATCTTTTATTATTCTTATTTCTGTTAAAAAGTATACTTGGATAGTTGCTGTTGTTGAAAGTATGAGCAAGAGACATTTGAACAACTCTGAGACAGAGATGTATGCTTACATATGTGGAACTACATATTCTTAAGGATTTTTGAGAGGTCATCATGACCCAGTTCCACTTTATAAATGCTGGTATTACATCAAAAAAGTTGCAGCTGTTTAACCAAGAATGTTGTTTTCTAATTAATCTGTTAATTCTGTCAGGGAAAATGCCATGGTGTGGTGGTGTGTGAGTGTGTATTTATTTATTTATTAACTTGATGCTTTCTGCTTGTGTCTAGGAGTTTATTTAATGCTCTCTCTCCAGTTGTCTCTTGATCTATATTTATATCGTTTTTTTTAAGTGCTCCCTCTTGAGTTAGTGACAGCATCGTCATTATTGTTTCATATCGGTTACCAAATCACTTTTATTACAGTATGTGTCATTAGTGTTTAAAGGAATTATATTGTATTTCTCCCCTCCAAAGTCTAAGTGTTGTTCTGGGCCTATGTTTGCCAGCATGGCTCCGTATATCAAAACTTCTGATTTCTCTTGCTTTTTATAGTTTCTTTGCAACTTTACTTAGCTGGCGTCTGTGTCTGCTTTTGTTGCCACCGGTATGCTAGTAACAACTAAACCTGTTAACGTCTGTCTATCTTCTTCAGGTCTTAAAATATTTTAATAAGAACAGCCATTTGGGCTCAGCTGATGATCCATTTCAGAACTTCCAATTAAGATTTACTGTAGTTACAGTGGAGCCTGTGATATGATCTCTTCTTCACTCTGAGGGTGATGGAGCCCTGGAACAGGCTGCCCAGGGAGCTTGTGGAGTCTCTTTCTCGGGAGATATTCAAGCCCCGCCTGGACAAGGTCCTGTGCAGCCTGCTGTAGGTGACCCTGCTTCGGCAGGGGGGTTGGACTAGATGACCCACAGAGTTTAAGTATTATTAATGTAATATAATCTTACATCTCAGCATTATTAATGAGTTACTGGTTAGTCAGATTTCATGCAAATACAAAGGTGGGTGTGTTCAAGCAGATTAACAGCAAAGCTGGGATAATGCTATGATATGATTGTAAACATTGTACTGCTGTGGTGAGAGCATGGTGGTAGTTGTAATATGTTTTAATAAAGCCTCTGTGACAGGATATTGGTATGTACCTAAAGATGTTGATTTTGTTACCATTAGGATGTGGTCTCCTGAAGAGAAATAAAAAGATGCAACTTCCTCATGATCTAGACCACTGGGGCTAAACTTTGTTACTGATGATTTACAAAATTCTGTTACCAAGGAAGGAACATGGGAGTATTTCCTACTTTACAGATGAGAAAACTGAGTTACAGTTGCTGAGGGACCAAGTGATTTCACCTCTCTAACAGATGTTCGATAAAGTAATCCCCACTGTGTGATTTAGTAGCAACTAAAAGCTGCAGCCATTGCAGTAGTCTCCTGCTTTAGGACAGGAGAAAACAATTCTCATAATCCCTGCGGAAATGTTACAAAACCTCATGAGTTCCCTAGCAGCAGCGTGGTGTTGGAGTTTCTTCATCTCCAATATGTAGTAGGTAGGGAACAGCTATGATTTATGAGGCTTCTGTTCCCATGGGCAGATATGCTGCCTGGGAAATATTGAATGTGTATATATATTAATTCATCTCATATTAGATAAGCATCAGTTTAAGAGCACCTTTTCCGTATGTGTTTTCTATGAACTAAAAAATTTTAACAATAGCTTCCTGAAAGCTTTCAAGAGTACGACAGAGGTAGAGATCAGTGGTGTCCTTGTTCTTGCATGCTATACAGAGGTGATAAATGGGCCTTCAAGGTACTGAAGACATTTAAAAAAAAATTGCAGGGAAAACTGCTGGGCTGACCTCGAAGAAGCTGCTGGCTGGAGGGAAATAGGAAATAGGGAATGAAAAATTAATGGGGGCTTACTTGTATGTGGTATGTTTGAGACAGCAAGTGTATTGCTCGGCAGGTTGTTTAGGTCTTAAGTGATTTTTCCTGTACATATGTATATAACAAACCTGTTTTAAATAATTCAGTTCTTTCTTCCTCACCCCTCCAAAAGTATGGGTCGTATGTCAGTGGTTAGATTCCTGTATTTCAGGTTTGAGGCTTTTTCTTCCTTTTTCATACCACATTAATGATGTGAAATCTTTCATTTGACCAATTACCATTATTTAGTGGTTAGTCTGGCTTTCTGCAAGTTCATTTGAATACACTCAGTGACTGCTTCCTCTTTCTGACTTAAGGGTAAAATAGTTATAGTGGAATAGAACAGTGGAGGAGGCTTCTGCTCTGGTCCGTTTGCGTTGTGTATGCTGTGAGAGGCTGAAGGCTCCGTACTGGCTACTTCTCTACACTTGTCATGTTGTGTGATCTACATTGATCTACAGGAGTCTTTGTGTTAAATTTCTGTTTAAGTTTGTGTTAAATTCAAAGATTCATTACCTGAGAAGTCTGATCTTATAGCCTTAAAGCTTAAAGGACCTTTCAAAATGCTTCTCACACGTTTTTTATTCAGTACAGTTACCAGCGTAGAAATCTCTGATGTAGCACTAAGGAGAAGATGTGAAAACGTAATGATGGGGAAGAGAAAGTGTCGGCATGAAGTTAAGGGTGATGCTTTGTCTTTCAGTTTCTTGCCTTGAGTGGGTATGATTGGGGGTGACTTTCTGCTGTGAAGGATCAGGACTGAGGAAGGTATTTTTCCGGATCATACTGGAAGAGAGGAGATGGCAAGTTGCTAACCCCTCTGTATTGTCTCAGCTTTGTTGAAGACTAAAAGTGCAATTTTAAAGTCATAAGTGTGTATAGGTCACGGTTCCTGGAGTCACGTGAAGACAACAGAGTTATCTTCTCTAGATAACAACTATTTCCATGAGTCATAGCATTAAACAAGGTTTGACTTCCTCCCCCCCACTCCCTCAATCTTTTTTTATCTTAAGCCTGACTGATTTTGATACCTAAAAAAAAAATTGGCTCCAGTTGAAACTTTCCTTATGCTTGGATCAAATATAAGGGCTTCACTCTATGGATTTACTGGCATCAAGGGGTGGGCTTTGAAGGCGACCTTTCTGTGAGTGGAAGAGGATCTTCAATATAACCACTTATTTTCATAAAGCACATTTGAATTTCATACCTACATTACCGCTACTCTTTCATCAGACTTGGTTGGAAATTGGCTGTTGGGTTTAGGAACTGCTAGGGAAGAAGACAATTGAAGTGGGATTCTTAATTTCCTATAGGAAGCTGTACTTATGAGAGTAAATTTTCTAGTGCTTGTGATGCCAAAGAAAACTTGCAAATGTGATTAGCAGGGAATGGGTGCGTGCGCTGAGGCTGAGCCCGTGGAGAGGCTGCAGAAGGAGCTGAAGCAGGCTTTGGCAAGCAGTGCTGGCTGGTATAAACCAGGGCTGTCTCAAGGAAGGAGCTCTGCTGCTTCTGTGCCCCTGCCCTTGAATTAGTGTATTGTATAATCATTTAAAGTGTTGAAGGTCGTATTTTTTTACTTTTCTCTTTTATGGGAGTGCAAATTTTGAAGCCTGTTTCTCAGGGGTAGGCCACTAACATTCCAGAAAGTGCTCTGTATGACAGGAAGGTAAATTCAGTCTTGCTGCCTAACTCAGACTTGTCCTGCCCCCTTCTGCTAGCAGGAGTCAGGGCTTCTCGTTAGTGCTCATGAGCACCCTTTACTGTTGTGCCTGCTTCACTGGACCTTGTTTACAATCTTTACTGGCAGCATGAAGCTGCTCTTGAGGTCTGCCGTATGTTTTGAATTGCTTAAGTCTCTTTTAGACTGTATTCATCCTGTGCATCAAAAATGCAATGACTAGTGTAATGTCCCTGGGTTACTGCAACATTGACGAGGGTTTGGGGCTTGTCCAGTTTCCAGGACAGGGAATAAAGGGTTTTAAAACCTGCACACTTTGAAATCTTAACAACTGTAAGGGAATTGTATTTGTCAATACTTACTACAAGCTTTCCTAATGCTTCCCTGAAACCCATGTGATTTCAGGTTTGGGAACTGTTGGATATGACTGAGAATACAAGAGTTTGTAATTTTGTCAACAGTAAGAATTGTTTGATCCAACTCCAGCAAAAATGTTATGTGACATAATACCTCTTAAATTACTTGAGGACTTAAGAGATACATATTACATTGCAGCACAAGGCTTGCTCTACTGAGTAAAGAAACTGCTAATTAATGTGTGGGGGTTTAGTTTTTCTTTGTTTCCTTTTTCCTGTCCTCTTCTCTAGGAATGTTTCGGAAAAATGAAGATTTGACTCCGTCACAGAGGTGCTTGGCTGTAAGGTAGGCTTTCAGACATCTCGGAGTTTAGCTTTGGGTGTGGGGAGAAGCTGGTGTTTTGTGTGCTCTGTTAATGCTCTGTGGAATTGCTACTGTTCACATTCATAGTAGAGTTTACAAACTCATCTAAAACAGATCCGTGCTTTTTATATTTGTGGCTTAATTCATGCACCTCTTCTGGAAAATCTCACTAGAAGGAGGTTTTAGACTTCAGGAAAACAGAATTCTAAATTCTGTGCGTTCTATGCAGATTAATGCCATATCAAACAGGAGACTAGTTAACATTTAGTACACACATGAAGTAGCTGGTGAAGGAACATGCTTGTTTAATTCCGTTTTTCAGTATTTAACTTACCTTTTCTCCTTTCTTTATTCTGGAGACTTGAAAATAGTACGTTGTCCTGGGCAAAACAGTCTTGACTTGAGACATTTTCCTGAAGTGAAATTATTGCCAGTTAACACAACCCTTTGTTTACTGATTCAGTTGGGGGGGGGGGGGGAGGGAATGAAAACAAACAACTGAACAAACAGCTAAAGAAACAGCTTTCCTTCTCCTTGCCCAGTAGAGGTGTTTGACAAGCTGAGACTAGGGAAGGAGAAGGAAGGCTAAGTCACCAGGGTTCAGGAGATCTTTCTGAAAAGGCTCGGTACGGATTGGGAAGAAATACTGTGTGTAGAATATTTTAAGCTGTGATTACAAAAGACACACAAACAGTTTTTACTGCAGTTAGAGTAAGCAATGATGTGGAGTATGACTTTTCCTACTGTGGAAATTCTGTAGAACTACACATCCCATCTCACCAGTTGCTTGTCTTTGAATTACAGACGCATGCCAAGTCTACTGGAGTATTTAAGTTACAACTGTAATTTCATGGGTATCCTGGCAGGCCCGTTATGCTCTTACAAAGACTATATTACTTTCATTGAAGGCAGATCATACCAACTGCAACAGTCTGAAGCAAATGGGAAGGAAGATACAAAATATGAACAAGCGGATCCTTCTCCAAATGTAAGATGTATGACTCTTGCAGTGCTGATGCTTACGTAATCATTGCATGAAAAGCTTGGTTTGCACTGTTCATTTACAGGCATAACTTCTGAGCTGTATCTGGAGTTCATTTATCAACAGTATAGTTCCCTGTTCAAACAGTTAAATAGTTATTTTTTTAAGGCAGGTTTTCTCCATGGTTTCCAGTCTGGATCTTGTGGATAAACGCAGATTAAATTGGAGCTTCCTAACAAGCTTATATGGTAAAAAGCCATCTTTAATTTAAAACAGTTCTTGCTTGTTTCTGTCAAAGCATATACGGTGAACAAAAGAAGTCCTGGCAAGGATGAAGTGTGCATTTTGTCATTTGAAAGCTGATGAGACTTAAGTTCCAGCAAGGTTTCATGAATGTTCTTGAATTTTACTGTTTTTAATGTCTTTTTTGCAGCAAGTAGAAAACATTCATATAAACAAGTTCAAAAGCATTTCAGCACTTCAAAATAGTTTAATTTTTCTTGTTTTCGTTTATGCAGAGAGGTATTAAAGATGGGTTTTGATCTGAAGGTGTAGTAAAAGATGTACTAGTACATCTTTTACTACACCTTCAGATCAAAATGCAGTATAACACTATGTCTAGTAATCCATACAACATATTTCTTTTTTCTCTTTGTTCTGTTACTGGAAAAGTTCAACATATTAAAACTTATTCCTTATATCCCTCCTATTGTGCTTTTTGCAAGCTATCCATTGCTGGGGCTCACAGTGGTGTGAACTCTCAGAAATTAATATCTAAATTAAAATAAAAAGCTCCCAAAGCTTGTTACTTTTAAATTTAATTCAGTTAGTTTAATGCTCAGGGTACTGAATATTATATTTTCAGCCTTTTCATATTCTCTTAAATAGTGTATCACTTTAAAATTGTACGTGCCTAAGATAATAATTACCACACATAAACAGCAGAATTATCATGGATTTGACTGGAACACTTCAGATAAAAGGCTTTCACTAATTCCAGTGCCAGTTACCTGTTTTCTGCTTGTCTTGTGGACCACTAACCGTTGCTGGAGCAGATGAAGGTATTCCCACACGTAGCTGCTCGTCTCTTCCTACCAGCTAGAGGTTACCATCCCCATAGCTGGGCTAACAGGGAGTGCTTCCCAGTCGGTTGGGTCCTCTCCAGCCACTTCCATCTGTTGAACGTAGATGAGGACTCTTTGCATGTTCCCTTCTACCAGTCATGTGTGGTTGTAGTAACTTGCACCACAGGAGTGCAAATGAGTGGCTGGAGGATGATAACACTTTAAGCTGCTCCACTGGTTGACAACGCACCTAAGCTCATGGCAGTGTGCTGCGGAGCAAGTATTTAGGAAGGGCAAAAGACGTAGGAGAATTCCTTACGTAGGTTGACACCTCATAGTCTGTAGTCTGCATTGATATGTTGGCAAATAGACAAAAAAATAAGATGCTTCTTTTGTTTTTAAACATTGTTTTGGCTCAGTAAAGGTGTTATATCTTATGTACTAAAATCCTATTTCTGCAGAAAAATATTATGTAGTAAAATTATTGCGAATAAATGGAACTAACCAGATCTGCCAGTATCAGTACTTCTGGACGTGTATCTACTGATTGCCTGGTAGGACTTCCTAGCTTTTTACCACATAATCTTGCTAGTAATATGAACAGTCCGTAGAAATAAATGTAAACCTATGGTAGATTCTTCTTTCAGGCAAGCAATTTTACTTAAAATGAATTGCTCTTAAGATGCTTGAAACTTTTTGCAATTTATGCTGCATTAACTTTTGACGTAAAAATAAAAGAGAAGCTGTCTGTGCTGTTGACACTTCATCTCCCAACTGGTGTTAGAGAAATCTGGCTGCGTTTTATAACACCAGCGAGTATTGTGTGCTTTTGGAGAAATATGGATGATATCATTTTACTGCATTTGCTGCATCAATTAAAATATTCATTGTCTTGTTCTAGAAGAATGTTTAAACACCATTAACTTCATATTAATACTTTAAATTTGTTCCTTGATTCTCATGTTGTTATTTCAAGAAGAATAAATTGCTAGGTAACTCAAAAAATGAAATGTAATTGAGATCAGCAAATGTTAATGTAGTAAATGAAAAATAAAATCCTTCAGCTGAGTTACACTGTTTCATTTCTTGTTAAATATAATTACATAACCAAAATAGTTCATGTCAGCCTCCTCCTCTACACTGTGTGATGACTGCATGATGTTAACTTGGTTTAGTATTTTTACTGTGTTCATTGCATGTTAAATGAATCAAGTCAACATATTAAAACTTACTTCTTATATCCCTCCTATTGTGCCTTTTTGCAAGCTATCAGTTGTTGGGGCTCAAAGTGGTGTGAACTCTCAGAAATTAATATCTGTCTTTGTAAGTTTCTTTTTTTTTATGGCTACCCTTAAGATACAAGATTCCTGTCAGCAGATACCTGCTTTCTTGATTATTATGCAGACTCTCCCTAAAGGTTAAAAAGTTCTTGCTTAATTGCCTGTAAATTTTACCTGAGGCGCTAACCTCCCCTTTATAATATGCTTTAATATAGCTCAATATTATATTGACCTCGTTATTGATTCTTTATCAACCAAGAACAAATCCATTCAAATAAAAGTTTTAAATAGCTTTTTCTTCTTTTTTGTGTATATTTTTATATATTAGACGTGTTTATACAGTAATATATTTATAAAATTCCTGAGCTCAGCCAGTGTTCTACCTTTATTGCTTCAGTTAGAAAGCTGTTCCTGAACTCCGTTCTCTGATTTGGTATCTAGCTTTCAACATAATTATATTCCTGTCTAACTTATGCAAGTTTTGTTTTTGTCCTGGCACTGTCTTTTAGCTCAAGTATGTTTTTGCTTCCCAGTGTTGACCATATTTGATATTTTTGTACAGGTATGCTCAGTTTTTGTTTGTCAAAACTAAATGAGCCAGGCCTTTCTACCTTTGTTGTACAATAAATTGTATATTCTACTTCATATGAGGTCAAAGTTATCCTGCAGCTTATGTCTTTTAATTCCTTAACAGAACAGTTATTTTGATACCGTGTAAACTTTAAAGAGTGAATGAAATTAAACTTCAAACTTTTAAATTAGTTACTTCATCCTTCTAAAAACTGATCAAACCTCCTGTGAACGTGCAGTCCAGTGATTACCCAGTTATGTCTTGGCAAAGAAGCTTATATGGGTAACCTCGTCAATTGAGCAGTAGGAAGTTAATTAATGTTTTACCAAATGCATTTCTATAGGTAATTGAACTATAGATTATTTTGGTGTCAGGTGAGGACTTTTATTTCTGTGAAAATGTGTTCAAAACTTGAGTGCTATAAACAAGCCTCAGGCTGTACTTTACTAATATATTTAGACCAGCCCAAGTATAAACGCTCGCTGAATGGATATGGTGCATCCTGGCTATGGGTTCTGGATCTCCTTTGCTTATCCTAGCAGCACTACCATGCGTTGCGCTGCGTCGTGGTCTGATTGAGATAATTTGATCCAGCTTAAAACTAGGTTGCCATTTAAAAAAAAAACCCACTGCAACAAAAAACAAACAAACAAACAAAACCTCCAAAAAAAACCCCACCAAAAAACACACCACACAAAAAAAAAAAAACCCACTCCAAAATATAAAAACCCCAAACACAACACCTCCCCCCAAGACTTATTGGGTGAAGTAGTGTAATTTAAAAAAGAAAGTCGTGCTCTTTCTGGATGTAGTTATGTGTGTCCCTGCAATTTTTTTAGCAGCAACATTTAGAAATACATCATTTAAATACTTAATAAATTGAAACACCTTCCTCCCACAGTATTTTTTCTATAGGTACAAACTGAAAACTGCAGAGTTTATTTTTTACAAGTACAATTTATGGCAGAGCCCTGTAGTAGTTCATTATTTTTTTCTCAAGATAAATTTTGTTGAAACTCTGATGCTTTTCCTTAAAAGAAGGGCTTTCACACCCCTGATGTCTTTAAAAACCTTCAAAGAGGTACTAAGCATATTTTGGGTTGAATCTCTATTTACCAACAATAAAATAAAATAAATAGTGGCAAGCCTTAAAACAGAGATGGCGTTAATTATAAGTTGATGAAACATGTTTTGAGACTTTGTAGAGATCTTCAGATGAAAAATGTGTATTTTCTATGTTTATGCTTATGTTTTAAGTTGCATGTTAATGTTACCAGCCTATAAATAGTGTTTCTCATGCTTAAATTGAACGTGACTTTAAATTATGGCTTAGACTTTGAAGTTAAATCCCTGCAACTGTCTTCAGAACTTTGGATTGATGCCTTATGGTATTTAGAAATATCCAACTTTTGCATGTATCAGGTATTGCATACCAAAATTAAAGATTCGTTAGCGTTAATAACGGATTTTCTCAACATGGATATCTGTTTAAATTCCTGAAGAAGTTAAGCCAACTGAACTTTCACTCTGCTTTGGCAAAGACAAAGATCCATTAATAGTTGCTAGAAAAACAAAGAAACACTTTTAGAAAGTTGATGCTGTTTACTTTGAACTCTTGTAATAGAGTAAAATATTAAAATTAAGTTTATTAAAAAGCAAGTAGAAACAAATAATTAAATGCTAGCTTTAGCTGTTGATAGGTAGTTGCCTCCTGAATTATCCAGCTGGTTTGTTTAATTAGCTGGGTTTTCTGATCCTCTGAAATATCTTCTGGGATGAGCCATGTGAAATCCATGCAATATCCAAAGTTACCCTCACCATGTTACAGCTTTTCCAAGTCAAATTTGTTATCGGGTTGTACCACCTCTTACATTTCTGACTGGGTGAATCTTTGATACTCTGTGTCTTGCAAAAGTCTGTTTTCAGTTGGGCACTTAATGCTCCATTCTGTATCATGGAACAGAATTGCTCTTTGTTTTGGAACTAGACAAGTGAAGCTGCACTCTAATTGCAGCAGGGTGTTATCTTTAAAAGTTTTGGGCAGGTATCCTGGAAGCAGGATGGATGGAAGAAAGATTCTGGCTGTCTTTTTATTCTGATGCTTCAAAGAAAAATAGCTAGATGGATTGTTTGCCTGCCAAGTTCAGTGTTTGTAGAATTGTAATGTTTAAATATTGAGGTTACTTACAATCCAAACTTGACAATTACGTTGAAGTGAACTAGCTCTCAAAGTTCTCTTTGTAGGTGCTCGCTTAGTGTGTTACTTTAGGAGCTTGCACAGAACATGGTGTCTGCCCTTGGGATGTGGATCAGACTAGCTACTTATAGCAGTCAGTGTTGTGCATTATTGCTCTGTGTCTTTTGTAATAGAACCTTAGAAACGTTTTCCTAATAATACATACTCTTCAGTGTGGTGCTTATAGCAAAACTGAATTTGAGAAAATCTGAGTCCAGGCCCTACCTGAACACCGTATTTTTACATGTCTGTGAACATATGATTTGACCCTTAATCACTTGAGTTTGGGAAAACAGGTCTATATAGAACTGAGATATTTTGGCTGTAAATTAATTATTTCAGTATTTTAGCTGGTTTAGAATATAGACATTGTAATAATCTAGCAGAGATGATTGATATAGAGTTGAGCAGCAACTGAGCACCTGCATTATACCACAGATTACTGAAAATGAACTGAAGCTTTTGCCATTGTTTTTGGCATCTCTGCAGTAATTGTACTCATTTTGTCCTAGATTATATGCTTAGTGTTATGATGTCTTAACTTCATTGCTTCAGTAATTTGACAATGAAATAAGAAAAAAATGGAGTTGGGAAAGATGTTTGCATTATTGAAAGGCTTTTTAGAGGCTCACTGTGGTCAGGCTGGATTTGCTGTGTTTGCTGGAAGTGGTGCTCACAACTTAATCAAGATGATAATATTCCTTGAGCCTCTATAAAATGTTATCAACAACTTGAAAGTTTTTGAAGTAGTGTATGTTACTGAAAGATTGACATATATACATGTATGTCTGTGTAGGGACGGAAGATTATAAATTGCCTTTGGTTCCAGATAAAAAAAAACTGAAGTTTACAAGTTTCCCATCTTAAACTTTTCAGATAGCCGTGGCACAGAAACTCTTAATCTGTGGCCTGTCCTTACTCTTCCACATGACTATTACAAAAACTTTGCCTGTGGAATACAACATCGATGATAACTTCAGAGCTACAGCATCATGGCCTGTAAGGTTTTTCTACCTGTACCTGTCTCTTATGGCTGCCAGACCCAAGTATTATTTTGCATGGACTTTGGGTAAGTGTGTGTGTATATATGTATGTAAAAGAAAGTGCATGTGTTGAGTTTCACTTGAGATGCGACACACTAAGCATGTATTAAAAAGTGACAGTGCCCTCTTGAGGCCTTAGGAAAACGTTATTACGTTGAAGTATTACGAGGTATTGTCAAAGTGTATTGAATGGTGTCTCTTTTTGAGAAACAACTTGCTGTAAATCTAAGCACAGTGTTGCAAGAGTGTTGCAAAGGAGATCATGGTCTGCTGAACAAATCTGAGTGAAACATGAGGGTTTGGGGAGATTGATAATGTGTTAATCAGCAATGACTTTATTGCTTTTTAAAAATTGCAGTGAAATAAGTCTGATACACAATCCCTGATATTTCTATTTGGATATGTGCTTTGATTTTGGCATATCTGAAAAGCCTCTTTAAGTCTTTCTGTGGTTAGTTATCAGTAATTTGCTGAATGTATTCAAACATGAAGGAAAAATGACTATTGAAATTCAGATCCAGCATGGCTTTGTTAAGAGTAGATGGAATTCACAGTAGTATTTTAAGAATTTGATGGGTGGCATTTCAGTTTTAGTCTTAATTTACTAAAAATTCTAATTGGCAAACAGGAGAACACCCTGTTGCTGAACAGGTGATATAGGTTAAAAAAAGTTTTGCTTTTCACTCCAAGTTATTTGGAGGAAAAAAAAAGACACAAACAGCAAAATGATGTATTTATGTAAGCTGACATCTTGGAAGTGGCTCACAAAACAGATTTCATCAGCTTCCTCCTCCTCTCCAGTTTTACATTTTTGTTTCATAATTCTTTTGAGAGAGAATCTGTGGGAAACAATGGAATAAAGCAAGCCTTAGTGTAGCAGAGCAGCATGACTCATTTACAGCTGCTGGTTTCATTCCTGGTCAATGAATGAAGTGCTTTCAGCTTGTCTGGATATAGTTATTCTGGGGCTTGTTGTGGAATGAAATAATTTTGAATATTGTGCTCATATGCACCAGTATCATCATCTGTAAATAGTAGGAGTTATCTGAAAAATGAATCATCTTCATTGTTTTTTTTAAATGTAATACTTCAGATGGATTTCTCCTTATGTGCTTGCTAGCAGTGTAGAGCTAGCATTCCTTTGGTAAAATACTGAAGAAAATAAACTATATCGACGCTATGCTTTTAGTTTGCCAAGTAACTTTTTTTACCTTCTGCCTTGCACTTTACCCTGTCTAAACTTCTAATGGTATGAGTAGAATGTGAGGGGGCCTTAACAGTTTTACTGGATGTCGCGCTTTTGAGTTGTATGTTGCTATTCTTTGCAACTGTTAATAAAATGAATCATTCAGAATGAATATTTACTAAAATGCTAGTTAATAAAATAAGTATTTGCTCTAAGTGTGGTCTTTGTACTCTAGCTAGCAAGGAATTACAGAGTTTGTGTCTTCAGCTGTTTCTAATTGAGCATAAAGTAATTGTCTAATGTTGGAAGTTGGCATGGGTGATATCAGATGTATAGCAGCAGATTTTGTTGCTTTCCAAGTTGTTCTTTAAAATTGTTGATGAGGAAATAAAATTGTTATAAATTACCCTAGGTTAAATCAAACATCACAAAGCCCTCTTCCAGACTGGTAGATACCTGGAGAAACTGAACTTCAGGAAAGGAACTGTTTAAGTCAATTGTTTCTTTTACCTTCCAAATACATTGGATTAATACCTTGAAAAAGTTGTTGAGAAAGAAAGGAAAATGCAAAAGATATGTATTTCTCTTACATGTCACTATTGTATAGAGTATATTCTTTTTAATATGGTAATACGAACTGAGCAATTTCTCTTGCCTTGCTAGTTGTAATTTAAAACATGACAATCTAGTTACACTGCTTTAGATGAATTCTGAGCTAACAGAGAGGGCTCATGCTCCATAACTGGAGAACTACATCTGTATTGCTTCTGCAGAGCCTTTTGCCTACCTTGCTTCCAGTTCCTCCGGACTTCTCTGGACTGGGAGAGGAGCTGGTGTTCTCCTCCCCCTGGTCACTCACTTATGCACATAAGGGGACACATGGCTGGGTTCGTGCCGTGTGGATGTGTGTCCATGTTAGGGTCCATGCAACCAAGCGCCTCGCTCAACAGAGGCAATATTTGGGGAAAAAAACTTGTTTCCTTGTAAGCGGCCATCCAAATTTGAGAAGTATGGCTGAGGAGATTTTAGTGTCTGAGCTAACAAAGCGGGGAGGCAAAGGTGATGACTGAAAGTGACAGGCGCTATTCACAGAATCACAGAATAGTAGGGGTTGGAAGAGACCTCTGTGGGTCATCTAGTCCAACCCCCCCGCCGAAGCAGGGTCACCTACAGCAGGCTGCACAGGACCTTGTCCAGGCGGGTCTTGAATATCTCCAGAGAAGGAGACTCCACAACCTCCCTGGGCAGCCTGTTCCAGTGCTCCGTCACCCTCAGAGGGAAGAAGTTCCTCCTCATGTTCAGACGGAACTTCCTGTGCCTCAGTTTGTGCCCATTGCCCCTTGTCCTGTCACTGGGCACCACTGAAAAGAGCTTGGCCCCATCCTCCTGACACCCACCCTTCAGATATTTGTAGGCATTTATAAGGTCCCCTCGCAGCCTTCTCTTCTTCAGGCTGAACAAGCCCAGTTCCCTCAACCTCTCCTCGTAGTGGAGATGCTCCAGTCCCCTCACCATCCTTGTAGCCCTCCGCTGGACTCTCTCCAGTAGCTCTTCATCCTTCTTGAACTGGGGAGCCCAGAACTGGACACAGTACTCCAGATGAGGCCTCACCAGGGTAGTGTAGAGGGGAAGGAGAACCTCCCTTGTCCTGCTGGCCACACTCTTCTTGATGCACCCCAGGATCCCATTGGCTTTCTTGGCAGCCAGGGCACACTGCTGGCTCATAGTTAACCTGTCGTCCACCAGGACACCCAGGTCCCTCTCTGCTCTCCAGCAGGTCCACCCCAAGCCTGTACTGGTGCATGAGGTTGTTCCTCCCCAGGTGCAGGACCCTGCACTTGCCCTTGTTGAACCTCATCAGGTTCCTCTCTGCCCAGCTTTCCAGCCTATCCAGGTCACGCTGAATGGCAGCACAGCCTTCTGGTGTATCTACCACACCTCCCAGTTTGGTGTCGTCAGCAAACTTGCTGAGGGTACATTCTAACTCTTCATCCAGGTCGTTGATGAAGAAGTTAAACAAGACTGGGCCCAGTACTGACCCCTGAGGGACACCACTTGTCACCAGCCTCCAACTAGACTCAGCGCCGCTGATGACAACCCTCTGAGTTCTGCCATTCAGCCAGTTCTCTATCCACTTCACCGACCACTCATCCAGCCCACACTTCCTCAGCTTCCCCAGGAGGATATCATGGGAGACTGTGTCGAAAGCCTTGCTGAAGTCAAGGTAGATAACATCCACAGCTCTCCCTTCGTCTACCCAGCCAGTCATGTCATCGTAGAAAGCTATCAGATTGGTCAGGCATGATTTCCCCTTGGTGAATCCATGCTGACTACTCCTGATAACCTTCTTTTCTTCCACTTGCTTCATGATGGCCTCCAGGATAAGCTGCTCCATCACCTTTCCCGGGATGGAGGTGAGGCTGACCGGCCTGTAGTTCCCTGGGTCCTCCTTCTTGCCCTTTTTGAAGATTGGAGTGACATTGGCCTTTCTCCAGTCCTCGGGCACCTCTCCTGTCCTCCAGGACCTCTCAAAGATGATGGAGAGTGGCTCAGCAATGACATCCGCCAGCTCCCTCAGCCCTCGTGGGTGCATTCCATCGGGGCCCATGGATTTGTGGACATCCAGATCGCTTAAGCGATCCCTCACACAGTCCTCCTCAACCAAGGGAAAGTCGTTTTCTTTGTAGGCTTCTTCTCTTACCTCCGGGGCCTGGGATTCCTGAGGGCCAGTCTTAGCACTGAAGACTGAAGCAAAGAAGGCATTCAGTAGCTCTGCCTTCTCCGCATCCTCCGTCACCAGGACACCCGCCTCATTCAGCAGCGGCCCCACGTTGTCCCTAGCCTTCCTTTTGCTGCTGATGTAGTTGAAGAAGCCCTTCTTGTTGTTTTTGACATCCCTTGCCAGCTTCAATTCCAGGTGAGCCTTGGCCTTCCTCGTCGCATCCCTGCATGCTCTCACTACGTTTCTGTACTCTTCCCAAGTGGCCTGTCCCTCTTTCCACATTCTATGCACCTTTCTCTTCTGCCTGATCTCCGCTAGAAGCTCCTTGTTTAACCATGCAGGTCTCCTGCCTCCTTTGCTAAATTTCTTTCTCAGGGGGATGCATTGCTCCTGTGCATGGAAGAAGTGTTGTTTAAAGAGCGACCAGCACTCATGGACCCCCCTGCCTTCGAGAGCCCTGGCCCACGGGATTCCTCCCAGTAGCTCCTTGAAGAGGGCAAAGTCAGCCCTCCTGAGGTCCAGGGTTTTGATCCTGCTTATCGCCCTGCTTCCTCCACGCAGGATCCTGAACTCGACCATTTCATGGTCACTGCAGCCGAGTCTACCTCCAACCTTCACGTCCTCCACCAGTCCCTCCTTGTTTGTTAACACGAGGTCCAGCAGCGCGCCTTTCCTTGTTGGTTGCTCCACCACTTGCATCAGAAAGTTATCATCGATGCTCTGTAGGAACCTCCTGGATTGCGCCTGCCTAGCTGTATGGTCTTCCCAGCTGATGTCAGGGTGGTTGAAGTGCCCCATGAGAACCAGGGCCTGTGACTGTGAGGCTGCTTGCAGCTGCCTGTAGAAGGCCTCATCAACCTCCTCCTCCTGGTCAGGTGGCCTGTAGTACACACCCACAGTAATGTCACCTGTGTGACCCTTATGAGCCTGTCCCTTAATTCTAACCCACTATTCAGACTGACATCCCTTGTATTTTCCTGCTTAGTGCAGATGACAGTAGCAGCTTTTTCTCTGAGGGAAAAATATTGTTTGCTTTGAACTGTTTGACCTTTGACGTGCACTGTAAACACTTCACCTTTAGAAGTGTTAACAGTGGCCTTGTGCCATTAGTGGCAATGTGACAAGCTCTGCATTGCTTAGTTAATTACTGTTTTCTCCTAGTAGGTTTGCACTGCTCTGTGTGGTGCTGTAAATGTGCACCAGCTTGAAGTGAATCGCAGAACTTTATGCTTTAAACATCACTGTTGCTGGATAATGAAGACCAAAGACACATGTCTGAGTGTTGAGCTGCTATCCCAAATCATTACAGCCAGCCACTGTTTCATGGTCTTGATGCATCTCATTGAGTTTGTTTTTCTGTCAAATCACGCAAGCAAGTCTAAGTAGGTGGTGTGAGAGAGGGGACATCTGTACTGTGAAGTCAAGAGTGCTACCTTTCATTCTTTTGCTTTTGCACAAGTTTTTGTATTGAAAGCTGGTGTGTTGCTTGGATTATTTTCTGTTTGTTCAAGTGTGTAATACAGTGATCCTCAGTATTCAAAAAAAGTAGCCTTTAAAATGTGATAAATATTTTGAGCAAACTACATGTTGATGCACAATTTATAATACAGGCAGTTCATAATTAATTTATTTCTTTTTGTTTCATTGCAGCAGATGCAATTAATAATGCAGCAGGGTTTGGTTTTAGAGGCTATGATAAAAATGGAGTTACACGTTGGGATCTAATATCAAACCTGAGAATTCAGCAAATAGAGGTTTGTTTCTGGCTCTTTAATATAAAATACTTGCCCATGTAGGTAGGTGCTTGTAATTTCAGTAGCTTTTCCTACGCATTTTGTTACTCAAGATAGTGAATATGTACTAAGTCAGAAATGACGTGTTCACACCCTTTGGAAAGGATGGAAAATAGAGTCTGTTTTGAAAGTGTTCTACTTGTCAGTTGACTTCCAAAATAATTTGTGGTTATAAGTAGTTGAGTAAATACCTCATTCAACTCATCACAAAGTCGGTTCTTTTTATATATATGTCGGAATATTTAAATATTTTGTAACACTTTACGTAAATAATGAATTTGTTTTTACTTTACAGTTTTCCACAAGTTTCAAGATGTTTCTTGATAACTGGAATATCCAAACAGCTCTTTGGCTTAAAAGGTATTTATTTCTTAAAGGAAAGCTTTTCTCCACTGAAGTTTCTTGGATGAAATATTTCTTTGAAGATAATTTAACATTTAAAGCTAAACCCTACAAAACATCAGTTGGTTAGCAACTGCATTGGACATTCTTCTTGTAATACTTCAATTAAAGCCTCTGAATTTAGGACTTCTCTCTTAGTGTAAACTATCAGGTTATGACAAACTGTTTTTCTGCTTTTCTGTTGGTCATAGGGAACTTCAAGCCGTTAGTCTGTGGAGGTGTCTTTCCTTTTTTTTTTTTTTTTCTCTCTCTTAGCATTCAAAGCAGTATCTGTTGCTGAGAGCTGCAGGCAAAATGTACCTCTTAGCCTGTGAAAGCTCTGCATTCTTTTTAGCCACAGTCATACGGGAACTTCCATGCATTCTGTGAGAACTTTCTGTGCTCCTTCCATAAAGGATGCATGGCAGCTACCAAACCCTGCTGTGTGCTGTCAGCAAACATTGCAAATAAGTATCCATCCCTCAGGCGCACTTTTTTCTTTGTCTGGGAAACAGGTGTGATACCCAGTGAACTACGTCATTCTGCTTTTGCTACTTCTTTGTGGTAACTAGAAAGTTAAAAAAGTGTTCTTGAATAGTGTGTGTGGGGAGTTTCCTTTCTCCCAGTCTGTTTGGTTGATCTTCTATCATTAGGTGCAAGTTTAACTGAGACCCCTGTCTTGGGATTGCTCGCAGGACTTTATCTCTTATTCTAGGACAGCTGGCAACAGGATGTTTCTTCCATCAAATTTATTTATAGTGTATTCTCTTTCTTCCATAATCTCTTCCCTAAATATTTTTCTGACCCAGTTAAAAACAGAAATTGAATTTTATGTGATTATTCTAGTTGGCTCAATCCGGTGATAGAATCTATTGCTAGGACAGTCAGCAAGGAAGAATTATGTGCTTGCAGGTATTGAAATGTATCGTTTAATAAAGCAAATATGCTATTTAGCTATTTTAAAATGCGTTTTAATTTCGTTAGAGAACAGAAGTTTATCAATATCAAAACTTAATAGGAAAAGGTTGTGTTTCAACAAACTTTCAAATCTCCTAAAGGAAATGATTCTAAATGAAAACTCCTTTTAATGGAGAAGAGTAACATTTCTATTAACAGTTGAAAGAAAAACATGCAAATCAATTGCTCGGGGTGACACTAAAAGAGGATGTGAAGTAAAATTAAAGCATCTCCTTTAATATTTTTAAGAACAATTGTAGAAGAATCTTTGAGGATAGTCTAAATCCGTATTGATTTTGTGACAGTGAAGGAGGGGGAGGGTGGATGTTTTCTTAAAGTTTTGTTGCAAGTAAAAGACTGTTTTAATGATTATATATGAGGACCGTAAACAGTGGTACAAAGTGTATACTGTATTACCAATCATTTGGCTAATTGCAATGCTACAGCAGTTAGAATAGAGGACAAGCTCATTTATTACTTTTAATAACTTTTTAATTCACTTTTAATACCTCACTTGTTTGCCATTTATAGAAGTACTCAAAATCTTAAGCATTTCTCTCACATGAAATGCCAGACATCAGCATTTGGTCTCTCAAGAGAAACGGAACCATCAGAATTACAGGACTTAAACCCTGATTGTCTGTAAAAACAAACTACTTGTAAAAACACGGGTAACGGATCTACAGATCATAAAGAAGCTTAATAAACATTTACTGTAGATCACAAAAACCAGCAATTCAAAGGTATTATTGTTACAAGCATGAAAATTAAAATAGGTAGTTACATAGTGGCATGTATCAACAAGATATATCATGATAATGTTTCCTGGCTAGGGAAGCTGCTATGTTCCCCCTCAGCCTGTTCATTCTCTTTTTTTTTTCCAAAGAAAACATTTAATTCCATTTGTCTTTGGTCCTATTTGCAAAATCTCTGTGGTTCTTTTTGCTCTGTTCTGCCGTATTTCCAAACTTCTTGTGTTCTTACAGTGGCTGTAGTACTTCTGCTATGACCTCCAGGGTCTTTCCATGGCTTGTTACAGGCAGAGTTGAATGATTTGAGTCGATTAATTACCTTTCTTTTCTTTAGGTAACACTTTGTATTAGAATGACAGTATTACATCTGTCTTTTATGCAGCAGCAATCTAGTGTCAATTCATGCTCAGCTGATACTCAGTATTTCGTACTGTTAAATCATATTCATACTCAGCTACACTTTTCAGAAATGTCACAGGGATGGGTACTGTTGTGTATCTTCCACTTCTCTTATTAGATGTTCTATACGTTGGACTTCATCCTGTTGATTTTGGAACATCATTCAAGTCTGTCAAGATAACTTTGGATTCTAGTGCTCTATCTGCTAAGAAAACAATGCCAATCTTGTCCACCCTACCTCCCACCCCAAAAAAAGGAGGGAAGACAGGGTGGAAAAATAAACTTCCTGATCTGCCACCCAAGCTAGTAGTAAAAATATAGAACCAGACCGAAGGCAGTACCTTGCTGAATAGTTGATGCATCTTCCCACTTCTAGAGCAAGGTATGGATAAGATAACCTGAACCACCCATACTTGAATAGATTTTTTTCAGCCTGTTGTGGTGACCATATTTCCTTGGTTTGCTTTTAGGAATGTCAGGTGAAGCATTTCAACACGATTTATTATTGATGAATCCATGGAATAGTTTACCCTTCTTACTCTTTTATGAAGCCTGATGATTTTTTCTAGTATATATCTTACCTGTCTTGCATTGATATAGCTGAAATTTGTTAGTTAATTCAGTTAGCTTTGTTAGCTCCTGAATGCTTTGCAGGAGAAAATTCGCTTAGTTAAAGCATTTTAAACCAAATAAAGATTGAAGCCATTTATCAATTTATTAATGATACATAATTAACCACCGGTCAGTGAAATATACATTCAGAATTAATGTCGGTATGAGAACAGATAACATTTTGTACATGTTTAGTGTTCTGGTTTAATAAACGTTTCTAACCACTCTTTGGTAACTAATCCCAGGGAGTTTAACAAGTGCACGTGTACACATGCAGCTACATGCAAACTGCACCTCTGCTCCCAAGGACGTGTGGGGGACAAACCCACACCTCATTCTGGGACTGTGGGCCCCCTGCTTGTGTGCACTGCCTGTGGGAGACGTGGGTGCTCCAGTTCTATGTGAACCCATGGATTCACATGCGAAGTAGAAGAGCATGCCACGAGGTCGCATCCATGAGGCTGACAGGGATGAGTTATTGCTCCTTGTGTATTGCATACTGCGCTGGCAGTCTCTGAGCTGGATGCAGGCTGCCCAGTGTCTACCAGGGAGGATGCTCCGTGTTTGCAGAGACAGAGGTCATGATGTTAGTGGGGAATCTTCTGGCAGGGTCAAATTAGGTTTTGATGACTAATATTGCGCTCCAAGATGTCTCCCTGACTGGTTACATGTTTTCCTAATGCTTTTGTACTTTCTAGGTTGACAGATTCTTTGTCTCGGAAGCCTCTTTGAAATTGCCTGGTTACTGTTTAGTCTGGGCAGTGTTGCTTTCATCTTTAAGGTGGTCTATTTCTGGCATATGCCCTCAGATAGTTGTGTGCGTTATGCATGCATGCATCTCCACCTTGCTTAGCCCCATGTTCCCATCTGCATGGCCATCCTTAGCGAAGCCCTTTGGCAAGGCGAGAGGGCTGTGCTGGTACCCCACACTGAAGACCTCATAAGATAAAATTTACCATATCTATTTGACTGGAATAAACTAAATTAGAAAAATACACTTTTGATCTTATTCAGATCCTGTGTTTTTACCTTCTGCTCTTCAACAATGACTGTATCATTTGGTCTAGGCAATCTTTCGTATGTACTGTAGTAATTAGATTAGTAGTGAATGTTTCGGGCCTCTGTATCATTAGCTTGTTGTCTTCTTTGAATAATAGATGTGCATTCTTTTCTCTCTTTGTTACTTGTTATGTCTTTACAAAACCTTTTTGCATATCGGTGTCTATGGTCTTTTTTAGTTAAAACTCATTTTTGTATGTTAGCCTTAGATTGGTGTTCGTGCATGCTTGTGCTATTCATTTTTGCTTCCTGTTAGTGTGCATCTGTTTCCATATTTCCTATTGGTTTTTGGTTTTCAGATCATTAGAGACATTAAAGAACTCTTGATGAAGCCATATCAGGACCTTACCATGCTTCCTATCATTCTTCCACATCATGATGGTTTGTCATTGTGTCATTTAATGTTGTCTTCTAGAAGCTACCTTTCTTGGATTCCTTTGTCCCTTCTTCCTTCTAGAATTCCTTACTGTAGGACCTTGTCTAATAATTCAGTGTCTCAAATTTTAAATAGCAAAGTTCAGCGTTCTCTTTATTTGATATTCGCACATCCCTAGTGTCATTAATTATAATTTCATTGTCATGGTCACCTAATTGCCCTACACAGACACATTTTTAACTGTAGCCTCTCTATTACTCAAAATTGAAGGTAGTTTTTACTTTTCCATTTCTCCTATAAGCTGCTTTCGTTTTGTATCTGACTGATCACAAGAGTTTGGGGTAGTCTGTGCCTTCCACTGTAGCTTTTCAAACACATTCTCGGATGGCTCAAGATCCCTTATTAATACCAAAGCCTGACTTTGGATGCTGGTGTATCACTTCGTTATAAATAATGAATGCCATATGTGATGGCACTGAACATAGATTAGCGCTGAGGGGTTAAATCGGGAGCTGTAAACAGCTTGAAGTACTTTCTGTAAGTCGTAATATAGTGGCAACATTATTAAATAATAGTAAACTGCAGTTGCTTTGCAAGTGATGTGTTGGAGATGAAACTGTGAAAAGTATAAATGTATAAATGATAAGTGGGATGACTGTTTGTGATTTATCTCATCTCACTTACCGTGAATTGTCTTTGACTTGCTAGAGTGTGCTACGAGCGAGCAATCTTCAGCCCAACGATCCAGACCTTCATCCTTTCTGCCATCTGGCATGGCGTTTACCCAGGATATTATTTAACATTTTTAACAGGAGTGCTAATGACACTAGCAGCACGAGCTGTAAGTACCAACCATCTATCATCTTAATATTAAGTTTTTTTAAAAGAAAATTGATCGTCTTCTGTAGTCCAAAGATGAGTTTTACAGTTGACATGGTCTGTCTGATAGTGTTGCTTGCTATTTTAGTTATGACAGCAGTGGGAATAAGTAATTCTAAAGAGGGGCTGATAAGTGGAAACAAGCAAGACTGTAGACAGCCTGTAACAGCTTTGTAGCGGATCTTTTGTGGAAGCTCTTCCTCTGTGTTAACTGATCATATATTACTATGCCATGCTGAACAGGATGATGTTATCTAAGATAATTTTGAAAAAACTTTCTGATGATGAAAAAAATCACTGATGATGAGTAACTTAAAATTTGGGGATCAATGCTGTCCACCTCCTCCTTAATTTCTCTTCAGTACTATTGTAGAGATGGGAAGTAAAGAATGCTCCCACTCAACTAGGAGATAAAAATCTCCAGTGCAGTTGCTATCCACAATTGGCCAGCCAGCAGTGCAGTCGCATTAAAAAGCTTTTTGCAGCTGGCATTCAGAACTATATGGAACCAGCAAATCTGCTGAGAAATCTCCCATGTTTCTGCTTGAGAGAGCTGAGTAAGAACAGAGGCAGGTTTATCAGTTACTTAATGGGAAAGAGGAACAAACAAATCAGATTTCAGCTCAGAGCAGAATAGCAGACCACTTTTCTGTTGAAAGAACCAGGAGAATGAGAAATGAAGCAGACTGCTCTTTGCTGTTACAATAACTAGGGGAAGGTGTACTTCAGATTCAGATTGTTACTAACAGTAAGAAAACACATGCTCCTCCTCTTTCTTCACAAAGATGTGCATATAGTCCTTGTTTGACAGAATTGACTCCTTTCTTTACAATAGGTGTAGCTCCCTTCTTTCCAGACTCTGTCACAGTGAACTTTTGACATTTATCAGCCAGGGGCTGGTGCAAAAGCCAAGGTTCAGGGACAGTTCACAGGTAAAAGTTGTTGTGTTCTCTCAGTAAGGCGAATCCAGTGAATCAGAGTGCACACTGCACTTCGACCTGGGCTTCGCTAGTAAGCTGCATTGTATTCACATTCCATATGTATCGATCAATAGGCTGTAAAATAAAAATATTTTTGAGTTTCTGTGTTAACAGATACTTAATATTAACTGATAGATATGTTAGAGGTACTTCAGTATGTTTATTATTTAACTTCACTAGCCTTTATTAACTGCGGAGTTTGGCAGCTGTGATCCACACTTTCTTCTCCTGTCATGCCGAAGCATGTATTCACTAGTTTTTCTCCCTTCAATCATTACGCATTTCATAATTAGGTGTTGACTAGAGGCAATAATACATTTATCTTAAAAGTGGTCCTTCAACTCCTAAAATACTATATTTCTCTACAAGAAATTTTGTGAAAAAAAACAAGTCATTGCACATGATCTTAGGAGAAAACTGGGAGGAGATGGCAGATGGCAGGGTGAAGGGTGTGTGGCTACAATGACTTTTTTTACTTAGCTTAACTAAACAAAGGCTGAGTGGGAATGTGATACCTACAGGGCAATTTGAGTAAGAAGGACAAGAAGGGTAAAAAAGGTTTTTAATGTAAAGAATGAAATCAGCATGAGCTATCCTTCCATTTGCTCATTAGAATGAGGAGTTCTAAAGGAACTGAAGAACAAAGAAGTTAAACTGTCCATTGGTGTGCAACTTTACAGAGAGGGCAACCTCAGCGCAGATGGTTGAAAGGTGGCCACTGTGATACTAAGCTAAACAAAAGCTGAATTGAGCCCATCTTGGCTTGTTAGAGCATTAGCAAGGATGACAGTTCAGTCAAAGGAAGCAGGAGCCAAGATCTAATGGTGCCTTTTTAATTATAGACTTCAATAAAACTGAACCCAAACCTGTGTGGGACTTGCTTTTTTTAAATACCTCTAGTATTCTATTGTTTGAACAGAATTTTATGAAGAAAAGAGGACTCCGCATAGGAAACTGAGTCCTTTTATAACAGTCCCACTTGATATTAGTTGTTGTTAAGAATCCTGAAATATGTCATTGGAACTGATAGTTTCTATATTCTGATTTTTACCCTACTTGTCCTAAAAATTATCTTAATAGCAAGTATATGCAAATAGCATACCATAATAGAAGCTTTTTTGCAGAAGTATTCTGGCTTTCATGTACTCCAAAACTGTATTTACGGAATGGCTTGATAAAATAGAACGTCTGCCTTGTTCAGACGAGTAGTCCAAAGTTGCATTGGATTTAGGCGGGGATTCATTTACTTCAGTTCTCCTTAAATTCATGAATATTTGAATTCCTGTGCTGGTTAAAGCACACTATCCTGAAAGGCAGGGAATTTGAACTGACTGCTGTTGATGGGTATGTTGAATGGTTCCAAGATACTTGACCAAACTGTAGCATTTCAATTCATCCTATGAATTCTGCAGAAGTGCAACAAAACCTCTACTGTTAGGTAGCTCAGAGTTTTTTCATAATCTGACTTACTGCTATCTGCTTTTTCAGATACGAAACAATATCAGACACTATTTTGTTGAATCTCCTGCTGTTAAACTGTGTTATGATATTATAACATGGATGGCAACTCAAATAGCAATAAGTTACACAGTCGTGCCATTTGTACTGCTCTCTGTAAAACCCTCTTTCACCTTTTACAGGTAAGCACATTCTACCTGTTTCCTCTTTCTTTTTTTTAACTTGAAATAGAAATATTTTCTGTGGCACAAGATTTCTGAAGCTATTTTAGTGATAATTATAAGATTGATTTGTTAGCTGAGCAAACTGTATTTCTGTTCTAGTGATCAAACATAGTTTGTGTTGTGTATGAGAAACCATAAAGTGCTCTCGTTTTCCTCTCATAATAGACTTATTTTTTCTAGGATGGGGGAAAAACAAACCCCACAAAACAAAACCAAAGGGTACCTCTGATATCACTATATACACTTCAACTATTTTATAGCAAGACTAGATAATGACTTGCGAAAAGTAACTTTCGTGAAAAAGTAGTTCAAAGCAGACTTCACTTTGAGTCTCCGTTATAGTGCTAAATACTGAATATTGACTTCATTTCTGATTTCCCCCTTAATACTTTTTTAAAAAAAAAAGGAAATATTAATGTCTTCCTGACTTAAATGTCTTATGAGCAAAGTACTCTATGCAAATGGGGTTTGACAGTTTATTTCTTAAGCATCCTGTAAGAGTGGTCAGAGTTTTATTGAATTATGATTTTTTGTTTGTTTTTTAGCTCCTGCTATTTCTGTCTTCATATTGCCAGCATCCTGGTGTTGTTGGTATTTCCATTGAAAAGAACTCAAAAAGGAAGCAAAAAGCATGAAAGCATCCAGCCTGTGTGGTCCAAAAAACTAGAAGAAGAAAATCTTTTGCAAAAGAACAGTTATTCCACAACAAATAATAGTTTCAGTCAGAAACAAGAAATAACCTGCAGATATCAAGCATTAAAACAGTGATTGAGGAAATACTATGATGAATATATTTTGTATGTTTTCAAAAACCCATTTTTAGCACCTTTTAAAGGGGTTTGTATTTGTTTGCAAAGATGTTTAGTAAGGAAAGAATGCATTACCTAGGAAAATCACATACCTTAGTAAGACTGGAAACAAAACAAATTAACCCCTCCCATGCCATGTCCCTGTGGGTCACGCCTTATATGAAGATATTACCATTATTTCAATGGGCACTCAGGACTTGCAACGTATGTCCATAGGGTCATCTGTCTGCCCTTTGCTGAATGTACGTTGTGTATCCCAAGGCACTGATGGGGTGGAATAAAATTGTGTCAATCTAGGACTAACAAATGGAAATTAATTTTTCCAAATTAATGACTTGCCTTAAACCCTCTATTTACTGAAATATTGTTTCTAAGTGGGTATTTTCAAGTTTGATTTTATATGGAAAGCATATTTCAAATATATAATACTATATGCTGTAAAGAAGATAAAAATAGGAAATGCAAAGTCATTAGAAAGCTTTTGAATCTTTAAAAGGGAATTGCAATAAGCATCTCAGTATTTGGAGGGTTTTCTTAAAGTATCTCAAACTGTTACAGTACATTACAGAACTGTAAACATTACTGATGCCAAATTATAGTTAGGTTTCTTTAATAAAGAGTATAATTACACATAGCCCTTCTGAATGGATTGGAAAAAAAACCTTCACACCTGAAGGTTCACCTTTTCCAGATCTTGATAGCTCTAATCTAGGTTTCTTTTACTTTAAAGTACCTAAAAACAATAAAAAACACTAAGTGGGCTTTGCAGCTAGAGAAGAAAAGGCAGCCATAGGACACAGAATAAAGTGTGCAAGCACCAAGATTTCAATGCAACTATGTTTTTACCTTTAAATACCCGAAATACTTGTTCTAGAATAGAACTGTTATACAAAAAATTATTTTTAATACTTAAAGTTGTTTGAATTTTCAGGCATACAGTAGTTAGTTGGTGATGCTTCAGTATAAAAATAGCAAAATTACCTTGAGCTTTAGTGCACAGGTAGTCAAACATGAAATTGCTATCATAACCAATTTCTGTATGCTTGATAATTGATGGCTCTTTATCCAAAGTATATGAATCAGAGGAAGCTTTTTCTTTAGATCAGAATTCTAGATGCAAAGTTCACGTCATATTTGTGGGTAACATAATGAAAGAAAGAAATCCTTCAGAATATCTGTCTGACTTACGGAAGTGTGTCAAGGGAGTAATGCAGTGGTTATATCTATTCGAGACCATTTATTGTGATGATGGTCCCTGCTAGAGTACTACTGTTAAAGGGCTACATTTTGGTTGCTTATATTCTGTACTTTTGTATAATTTTAAGTAAGCACAAACTGTTTATCCACCTGGGTTTTTTTAGCTTTAAAACTGACACAAAATACTACTGGAGAAAAATAGTGCAGCTTCTTGATTAATAACCTACAAATGAGTGAGAAATGTTTTTTTGAACCTTAAATTTTTGATCAAATATCTGGCACTGGTGGGGTGAATAGTCTCAGTACCAGAAGTGCAATGATGGTCCTCAGCTTTGGGGGTACTACCATGCAGAAATAGTCACCGTGCTTCTAGCTTACTCTGTGAAGAACCAGATCCTGAGTCAGGTGAGAGCTGTTTCTGTTGTCTGGTAGGTCTGTGTCTGGCCTTCAGCTCCTTGCCTGAAACTCCGGGAGGACAACATACCTTTTCCATATATGTAGGTTAGCACTAATTAACCTACACCCTTAGAAAGGGAGAACTGAATACGAAATGAGTGGATGAGTCTGCTTAGATGAGCAGGGATGTTTGTTGTTTGTGACAACTGTATTATCTTCTAAAAGAACATAATCTGACTTCTAAATCCTGACCTCGATTACCTAAGCAGACCTCCCCTTACATGGGGCTGTGGTTGTCATGCCTCTCTGAAATGGCATTTTAGATTTTTCTGTTGTTTATAACTAAGGGCACACTAGTTTTTTTGTTTGGTCATCCTTATTAGATACAGAATCGAGAAAGACATTTTTCTGCTTTCTGTTCTTGAAGGGACATTTACATAAAATAACAAATCAGAATTGCACTTTTCTGGGTGGGTGAGTAGATTTAGAGTTGATTCTTTCAGCACTTATTGCTGTTGAACTTAAATTCTCCTTTTTCATGCAGTCTGTGTATCCACCCAAAGAAGTACTTTTGGATGCCAGTACAACATCTAATGTGCCATTTTTTCCATTAATGTTCTGGTACTCTTCTGGTTTTGGCATGCGTGCCCATATGTGCGATGGAGGTTTACTAATTCTTCGTTATGAAATATGAAAGCAGTTGCAGGCACTCCCAGGAAATGAGCATGTTTAGGATAGCAAAAGCTGATACTTCAGTGTGAGTGAATTAATAGGTACAGCCTTGTTCGGAACTTGTATATGAGGAAGTTAAAACAGCTAAGAAAATATGTACGTGCTTTAGTCAGGCACAAGTGGCAAGGTATGGGTTTCAAAACTGGACATGACTGGTGTCTACATGCAATACAATTATTTTTTTTCTTCATGATCTGAACCCCTTAAATAATTACAACACAAGAAAATTATGACAATTTGTTCTGCATAGAATTTAAGTGTAGTGTCCTAGAATTTGCCCTTTAAATGTCAATGCTGAATATGAAAGTACTTTGAATGAAAATCTGCCCTTCATGCAAATAAATTCTGCTGGGGACTATGGAAAGAGGTTTTTTGTTTTAATGGCAGCACTCTGGTTTTCGTCCATCTGAGGTTGTGGTGGTGTTGCTTTCCCTCTGCTTTACTAGTTTTCTGCCTTGCTGTCGCACTGCATCCCTTTTATCCATTCAGTCAGAAAGTCAAGAGCAGCCAGCCCCAATGCTTTAAATAACTTTTAGGTTTTACACACAACATTTTATGATGTTGAATTTGAAAGGATGGCAGTGATTTGCTATTGCTTTTGCTGAGAAAAATAGGAGAAAGTAAATTTCCTAGAAATATTTTGGGCATGAACAAAATGTGGTCTAAGTATTCTTTCACTTATAAACTAATGTATGTCCAAAAGGTAAAAGCGTTTTCTGTGTTGCAGATCAGCACACTATGAAAAATAAATACAACATATCATTCATAATTTTATGGTGCTTTGCGGATATTTGCCTGTTGTGAACAATCTATTCAAGCACTTAATGACTTAATGTTAGTTAGTAAATGTGGTTACCCCGGTAGTAACTATTTGCTTGCTTAACCTTTTTTTTAACCTTTATGATTCTGTATTAATGAAAGATACATATTATGTATTTAAATAATACTTCTGGTGGTGCCTACTACTGTTGTAATCGGCAAGGCTTTGTTAGCTCTACAGTTGCAGATATGCCCTTCTTATTCAGGAAACTTATTCTTCTATGGCCATTCCTTAAGTTGACGTGTAGACGAGATTTCAGTAATAGGTGACATTTTAAAATATATTATCATGTAAAAATATTGCTATGCGTTTCAGTATGCTCTTGATAACAAATCATACTTTAGTGAGATGACTTTGCAGAGACATCTTTGTATATTCCCTGCTTTACACTGACTTGTGGTATCAGTTTTACCAGTAACGGTCCATTATTTATGAGAAGAATTTTACACTTAAATAACTTGTTCTGTTTCCCCCATGGGAATAAGTAATATGAATATAAATGCTATGCTTGTATGACAGGATGCGCACTCAGTAGTTGTGCCTCTTTTGATGGCATTGATTCGGTTAGTGGTAAAACGTCCTCTGATGCAGAGAAGACCTTTACAAGATCTCCACTTCCTGTCAAATTCATATCAAAAGTAATTTTAACAGAGTCTGTTTGCTTTTTCTCAGAAGCTTTGCAAACAAATTGTTGACAGTTTGTTTAAATACATGGTCAAATGTGTCCTCATGTTTGCCTGCAATTGTGTCACTGTTGCTTGAGTGTAAACTTTCACATGCTCAACTTTATAAGTTGGCCTTGAATGAGAAATTTAAAAGCACAAATTACAGTAATTTAGGCTTTCAAGTCCCTTATCCTTAAGTCTTTCACTTTGTAATTCTCATTGAATTCTGAAATCAGGTTTGAGAATTTTTCATTTTCAATGAAAATTTGGAAATATTGCCACTTATGTTGAAAAGTGATCAGTGTTAGGAAAAAGGAAATAAATTTAAGGATTTTAATGTCATGCAGACTTCACATGTAAAAAATATGCATTAGTTTTGTGCTGATTCATCATAGCATTTTCAGTACATGACTAGCCTTTATGTATTTATTTAGGTCCAGTAATACTCTGAACAGCACTTGGGAGTATTTTTAAATTTCCTGTTAAAAAAAAATCAGTTGGCTATAAGTACTTAAATGAGTATTTCAGTGCTATGCTGAAGCGTCTAAGCAGATACTTCAGCTACTCATTAGATGACCAGCTCTGTCTGGATATAAGCTAGTTGGTGCCGTTGGTCACGATCCTCTTCGCAGTCAGGGTGGAGAAGCTGGCTGTGAAGAAGGCTCTGGTAAGAACGTGTCTGTCAGTGGCTGGGAGGGTTTGCCGCGGAGTTCCGCGGGGGAGCTGACCCTACCTGCAGAGCTTGACGAGGGTCCACTTGCTTGTGACCCAGGCTGCAGCTGCTCTGTGTTAGATCTACCTGCATTTTTGACGTCTTAACCTTGACATTTTGCAAACACCATGAAATCTAGGCATCCACAAAGTCACCCTGCAAGGTTACAACTGCAAATATTGTGACAGTTGCTTATTGTGGTCAAAACTAAATGGTAAGAAAAAAATTAATTTCTTAAAAACTTGTTTTGAGATGAACTTATGTTTTTTTACAAAACCTAACCATCAACTGGAACAATTTTCATCCCATTAAATATTTAAACCCTAGTTTTGCTCTCTTTAGGTATACAAATGTGCAAAAGCAAATTTTGCCACTTCATCTTCTGTGTGTTAGCTGTGTGTCTAGTGACTTAGACCTGGTTTTGGTTTTAGATGTTTCTAGATAATCTAAATCCATGTGCATATCCATACAAACATTATGTAAACTTTATGAATTGACAGACTGTAGTTACATATAGTGTGCATAAATATACTTACAACAGGCCATATCAATATTTACATGAGACTAGTTGAGATCTCCAGCTGTACACTACATCTGATGAAGGCTGTTGGGCTCCGTTCTCGAGTACTAAGCTTTCTGCTTCCAAAACTGAAAATAGGATCTGTTGGTCACACTTCAAGTGGAAAGTGAAGGGCTTCTTTCGCTCTGTTGCAAACCCAACCCTTACAGGATATTCTGCTGCAGGGTGTGAATACTAAATTTGACTTGAGATGTATGGCTGAAATCTGAGTTAGG